AAAGGCGCGCATGCGGAGGAAAGGTCAGGATCGGGTGTCCTGCGAGTCCATGGACGCAAAGACAGCATGATAGCAAGGACGTTGAAGTGAGAAGCAAAAGCTTCCTTGGTAATCTGGAGCAGCACCAGATCGTCGACCCAGATGGCAGTGGCCTCCTCGAAGATGCCCAGACCAGCTTCCACCATCTGCATGAGGGCTGCCTTCAGATAGAGGCGTGACTCAGGCAGCAGCTCAATGCTTGAATCAACATCCAGGATCACAGAGGAGTAGTCGCCACTGCGAGCCAGAAACTTGAAAGGGCCGGTTGGATCCTCCAAGGCGCCCGCAGGTGTACGTGCCGTCGGAGTCGTCGGTGCTTGAGGTTGGTGATGAGGTTGGCCATAACGACATTCACCCGGCACGAAGGTGTGCTCCACGCCAGGAGGAGCAGAGCGACCTAATTGGCATCTCTGACAAGAGTAGAAGAAACCGTGCATCCAGAACAAGTTTCGTGGCCAGGTAGGACAACGATGACGCCCATCTTGACGAAGGATGCGAGTCATATCCTGCGCAAAGAGCTTACAGAGTTGTCGAGGGTACACTGCTGCCATCGCAGTGCGATTGATGCCATTCACCTGGCCTTGTAGGACGCCATGAGATTTGCCCTTGTGGCCCCCACAGCGTTTGAGGATGTTCCGCCAGCGACGATTGCTCAGAAAAGCAGTTGCCTTCCGCACTGGCTGGCGCGACTCATCCTGAGCACCCAGCATACATTGGTCAAGGCGCTGCTTGGTGATGCCTTCATGGTCGAAGAGTCGAGCAATCGGGCTGTCGGTAAGCATGGCCGAACCAAGAGGCTGCTCAAGCGTGAATGCTCGGCCTGCATTGCGCTGCCAGAGGAACGTGTCGTGCAGGAAGGACAGTGTAGGTATTTCAGCACGCCGTTCAGCATCCCGAGCATGGGCGTCTTTTGTGCCTGATGCCACTGACCAGGGTCCACAGGAAGGTGCTCCAAAGAGATGCGCCGTCTGAAACTCCTGACAACATTCATGTATCATGGCCTGACGCCGAGGAAGTGCCATATCCCAGCCGTACCTGTAGTCCACGGGAAACGCCACCGCAAAGCCTGCAGCAAGCAGCAGCAGCAAGGATAGCCTGCCGCTACCAGAACACAACTCCTGGAACGGAGACGCAAACTCTTTCCACGGGACTTCTGCGTCCATGCCGTGAAGTTGCGTGGTGCGATGGGCCGTCGCCCCGATTGACTATAAAACTCCTCCGGCATGGCCCGGTAGTACTGCTTGGCCTTCTTGATGCGTTCCGGTGGCCAGTGCTCAGGGAAGTTATCGCCCGTGTACGGCGGGAAGAGTTCGGCATCATCGCCGGAAGGTGCCGTAGACGCCAGCTGTTCTTGAGGAATGACCTTGCCAGGAGTGCGCAGCCGGAACTTGGTAACTCCGGTCCAAAGATGTCCCAAGTCTCGATTGGGAACCTTCGAGTGGATCCAGTCATCATCGAGTCGCCGTTCAGCACGTCGTGGTAGAGGTCGGATGGATGTCTCTCGCTCGCCAGTGAGGAGAAGTTCATCTACTGGAAGATCAGGAGCACACTTTGGTGTGAAGAGAACCCGACGTGGTATCCGATGATGTCTGACCAGATAATGCTCTTCTATGGCCCACGAGTCAACTGCCAGACGTCTAGGTCTCTCTGATGGATCCTCCAGAAACGGCTTGCAGTGGTCATAACTAAGTTGACGAAGCCCAGAGGTAGTCGTAGAGAAGGTCGCTGAACTGTTGCCTGAGACATTGAACTCTAATGTCAAGTCTCGACCCATCGGACAATCCACCTGAGCTCCGTTAGTAGTGGCTATGGACGCGCTAGATGTCATCTTTGGCTCCTCAATGGTTGTGCATGTCGTGTCCTTCTTTGGCTCCTCAATGGTTGTGCATGTAGTGTCCTTCTTTGGCTCCTCAATGGTTGCGCATGTGGTTTTCTTCTTTGGCTCCTCAATGGTTGTGCATGTGGTGTTCTTCTTCTCCTTGTCTAAGCTTGGAACTTCACAGGAAGAAGTTCCTGCCGAAGAGGTAGTCGTAGGGAAGGTCGGTGGACTGTTGTCTGAGTGGCCCTGCTGCAACTCTCCTGGAAGTTCACACCGCTCACGTTCCGGAGTCGAGCAGGATGTCCATTGCAGAAAGCAGTGCCGGACATCATTCCAGCGTTCTCGTATTGCTGAAGCGAACAGGTTGAGTTGAGAGCTGACCTTCGTAGCATCCTGCTCTGTCACATCACAGCGCTCATCCACAGGAAGAAGATAGTGTCCAGAATCCGTCAGAAGGATGCGGAGGTAATGCCTTTCTTGATCGGACTTTTGGACCACCAGAACGCCATCGCCATTCTCGAAGTAGTCGGTCAGGATGGCTGCACGTTGGCGACGAAGTGCTGGGTTGCCAAGCAGGGCCGGACACAAAGAGCCATCACCACCTAACACATCTGCCCGATAGTCACCATGAGCACCCGACAAGGTAAGTGGTATCGTGACCTCGCCCATGGTGTTCTCGGGAGTACCAGAGATTCCACTCACACTGTGTTGCTTTCCATGGTTCCAGGAAACTGCTTGCTGTCTTTCTGGAGGAAGAACGCTCAAAAGATCACGAAGGGTTTCGGATCCAACAAGTCCAGAAGCAGCTCCCGGGTCCACAAGAAGACCACGCCTTTTGTCGCCCTTCACAGTGTGGTAACTCTCCAGGGATGAAAAGATGCCAAGGGCGAAGGAGAAGTCCAAACGCTTTTCTACCGCAGATGCAGTCGATGGATCCTCGGGAGTGGGATCCGTTCCCGCGGCGATGGCATCCGAGCTCAAGGACGCCTTAGGTCGATTAAGGTGGAGGACCGTATCGTGGCTCTCCTCCTCAAAGCGAACCTGCTTCCTTTGCAAAGGGGAAGAGCGAGGAGGCGGCCCATGGAAGCTGTCATTCAACTTCTTGTCACTGAAGCCAAAATAACTGCCACCGCCGTAGCCAGAGCCGCCCTTCTTGCCGTAGCCCTTGCCGTAGCCGCGGTACGGCGACCACTTGCTCTTGCCCTTCTTGCCTCTTCCTTTGCCATAGCTCGAGCCACCTTTTGAGAATCGTGGCTTGCCATGGCCTTTGCCATATCCGCCCTTGTTGTTGAAGCCGCCCTTGCCACCGGGATAGCCAGGAGAGACCTTTCCATTGCTCTTCCCCTTGGCGGTGTTCACGGGGCAGCTTGAGGCCGAATGCCATCGAGATCCGCACGTTGCGCAGCTGCGGCCCTTGCCCTTGTGCATGGGGAATGACTCGTCCGCCGCTGAAGCCTGCTGAGGAGGTGACGTCGAGGTCGGTGGTGTCGCGGCAGGCTCCGAGGGTTCCCTCGAGGACTCAGCGTCATAGTACTCCTCCTCGCCATAGTAGTCTTCGTCATACCATGGCGAGTCCCAGGCCTCGTCTTCAGGCCATTCCTCAGGCCAGTGCTCGTAGTCGTCCTGCCAGTATGTCTCGCCATACCAGCCATCATCCCAAGAGTCAGTCGTCTTCCTCGTCTCCCATGAAGTAGGAGTCATGATTCTCCTGTGCTCGGTGAACCAATCGAAGAGCTAGGGCCCGAGCTTCTTGAAACCTCCGAAGATCACCTTGGATCTGCAGCTTGATGTCATCCACCAGCTTCGCCGGCAGTTGTGCCGCCTTGAAGAAAAGGTAAAACTTGGCCACATCGTTAATTTCAAAGCCAGCCCGGGTCGTAGCCTCCTCCAAGCGCATGTCAAACTCAATGCTAAACTCGGAGAAGGCCATTCTTCCGCGACGAAACTCCATGAAGTCCTCGATGCTCTTTGACACCAACTCTTGGTCTGAAAACCCAAACGCATCTCTCAGCGAGTTGCAAAGAGACTGTATCCCACTGGGAATCGCATTCTGGAGAATGATGGCGGGGTTGACCGGGTCTCTCACTTCCTCGACGGAGAGACGGACCAGAGCGTCCGAACCGACGTCCACGCCTCCATCTGGACGCGGAAGCCGAAGTTGGAGGGCTAGCCGTTGCGCCTTGCCCTGTAGTCTACCAGCCACCAGCGGACCAACCAGCTCGTCCGCGCCATCGAAGATTTGATACCAGAGCTTAAGCTTATCGAAGAAAAGTCTCAGCGGGTAGTCAGGAAGCCCTGGAGACCAACCTGGGGGACAGTCTCGCCGAAATTCTTGCAGAGGGATGCCGGGACCATTCGGAGTCACCGACGACGATGACATCGCTTCGATGAAGTCGCCGAAGAAGACGTCCAGGAAGTAGAAGCACTCACGGACCGAGCTGTCCTGCAGCTTGCCACCGATGATCTGAATCGGGTAATCGATGGAGTCCACGGAGGTGAAGAGGTCCAGGAAGTAGAAGTGCTTTTGCTCTCCTTCCGTATCACAATCCGCAACAACAGTAAAGGGAGTCTGCTCCAAATGAAGGGGCAGCCGAAAAGTCTTGCCGTAGGAGAACGAGCCGTCCGGGCCGAGGGGCTCGAAGTACTTGTCGAAGTACTTGCCGTCGATCGGGCCGAAGGTCTCGTTCGCGAAAGCCTGGGCCAAAGCCCAGCAGCCGAGGAACAGGAGCAGCAAGCCGCCTGTTCCTTTCCGTAGTTGGTCCTGCCAGGTCGCAGTCAGGCAGGATCCTCCAAAGTTCGGACAGTGCCGGCTATGTTCTCCAGAGCCAGCACGTCCTTGCTCCTTGACAAGGTGGTTGGGCACAGCGATGCCCGTCGTAGACGTGGACCACCAAGACTTGCCGAAGAACTCGAACAGAATCGTGGTGAAGAACGTGTTCAGCAAAGCGCTGCGCAGCGGCGCGGAGCCGAAAGGCTCCCAGTAGCCTATTGCCTGGATTTCTGCAAGGAGCAGCTTGCCCGCTCCGCTACCAAACTTGGAAAGTGCACACTGTTTTAGCCCAAGCGCTGAGACATGTTCAAGCTCAAGTCATCAATGACAAGTTCACTCACCCACACTACTATCAACGAACCGAGGTCGGGCCTCCGCCGTTCGATCGCGCAGCGTCTGGCTCACCATCAATCAATGCACAGGTCCCAGGTGTCTTTTGCAACTTGTAAAAGACCACCCTTCCTGGCCTGGCCGTCGCTTGTGATCGCGCTCCTGTGCTTAAGGGGCTAGGGCTTCAGGAGCTCTGTATTAAATGCCTCTGAGCGGCTCTTTGAAACAAATCGCCGTGCTCGCAACGCACCGTGTCACCGTGCGCCAGATCTCAGGCACTTTGGCTTGGTTGGCACCTTCGATCGCCAAGGTTGGCATGCGCCTGATCTCATCCATGGGAGAATGCCACTGCTGTGTGACCTCCGACCGCTCAGGTGGGCCGTGACAATATGTACAGAAGGACTACGGCAGCGAGCGCTCACCACCGCTTGGCCGGATCCTTGAAAGACACCTCGGGAAGAAGCCGATCAGGCCAATAAGCTCGGACGCAAGAAGCACCACGCTTGCCGCCATGGGGCTAGCAAGTATCTGCCACTCACCAGTGCCCCAAAATACCTAATCTCTGCTGTGTGCTTGTTGGCCATCGCAGTGCCGTGCCACGCTTCCCTAGTGCGCTCTGATCAAGCTCACGGCAAACTGCACGACACTCTCTAAATAGGTACCTGTGGCAACCATCCCGCCATCTCCAGTCCAGGGTATCCTTTCGCCAAGAAATGCTCACCGGCGGAAACCTCGAGCAGAACGCGATTACAATAGTTAGCACCATGATGACGAGGATGCCCATGGTAGTTCAAATGACATTGAAACTGGTCCATCTATCTGCAATGTTTTCAAATAAGACACTGCTCGCCGCCTCGCATTAGCTTTGCATAGACCTCAGTCTTTGAAAGTTGGAAGGGTGGCAACCCTGGTACTGTGCAATTCTACGGGAAGACCCAGCTTTTTATGATACCAGGCTAGGCTCCTAAGCTCTGGACCCAGACTTTGGACCAGCGTGGCTTTGCACGCAGGCGCGCGGGCATCAGGATCTGGGGATCCTGCCAGGCTACTCAGATGCTTCTGGAACTTCCTCTGGCAGTTCTAGCAGTCTAGCAGCTTACATCCAGCCCTGTTTAGCGTGCACCCGTCCAGCAGCGCCACTTCACGACGGCTTTCTGGCAGCGGCCTTTCCAACAGGCTACAGACTTTCAACTTTGAAGACCACATCATTGCCACACATGGCCTTCATTTTGTGGCAACTTCTAGTCCAAACATCTCGACTGTTGTATCTGTATCTCCTCTAGCTCCAAATGCACTGCAGATTCTTGAAGAGTACTCAAGTGCAAACATAAGGCATGAACGAAACATCTCCACACAATTTGCCTCTTCCGTCAATGTCCAATGTCCCAGGTTTTCGTTGCACAAGTGACAAGCTGCTGGTTTCCGTTTCTGCTTGTACAGTTGCTTATGCTACGCGGGTTTGGGAATTTCAGAAGGGCACAACTTCAAAAATGGTGCCTGCGCGCTAGCATGACTCCGCAAGGACCGTTTTTACCTTGGAGTTGCAAAATGAAGGGCAGTATGCTACAAATACAACAACACAGACTTCTCATGTGGCTCTGACATGGAAATTGTACAGTACGAAAACCACTGACAGTATTGTCTCCAGTTCCTGCAATCCTGTCCTTGTCTGCGTCCCAACGCGCGCCACATCAACTATCCAACAATGCACCCCGTCTGCGACGGCTGAAATTGCAAAGCTTGAACATCATCTTCCCCGTCAACTGAGAGCAAGCTGCATTTGGCAGCTTCCTGGCTCCGTACACCTTGTGACATGGATCATTTTTCACTTGCACAACAGGGCATAGCCAAGGCAGAAATGTCCAGGGGCTGAGAGCAGAGGGCGTTTTACGCCAAGGTGCCGTAGACTTCAGCAGCATAGACCTGACAAATACCATCGGAACATGGTCTGGTGACTGAGAGGAAGGTAATGTGGCAGATTGCAGCGCGGGATGGGCTGAGGCAGGGGCACACAGGCCGCGAGACCACAGCAACACAAAAAGATCCAAATAAGAAGCATGGGAGTTACCATAAAGGAGGCTTGAAAGACGGCAGAAACTGAAATTCAGCTTCCTTGAAGATCTTCCTCAACCTCGTGTCCTGCTGCAAGCAAGCTGCCCCATCGGAGACTCGAGCCTGTTGCAAACATTGGTCTGTGTCAAGGGGTTGGCACGTGCCAAAACGCGATAATTCCACATGCTACATGTATAGGCTGAAATTGGGAGCCTATCTCCACGCTGGATGCTGAATTCAGATACTTTGCCATGCCATGCAACCTCGTCCGCTTCCCGTCGATCCACGGAGGACTCCTCCTGCCAGCGAAGTTGGAGCGGGCCTCAAAGAGGCCATAGAGGCCACAGAGAAACTCGTTCAGGCAGCTCTTGTTTCATCATGTGGTGGATCCTGCCGAGTGAAGGAGTCCGTATGTTGCACCTACCGTAGATTTAGCGAGGCAGTGCGCTTTGCTTCCAAGGGACAATTTGTGAGAAGTCCCGCGTATGCCGCGCTCAAGCTGCCTGCAGGCGGCACACGCTGGTCACAACCGACGTGACAGGGCCACCTCTGCAGCTCTCAACTTTCGATGCAAAAAGCCAAAGCCCTCCACGCCGTGAGCTAAGTAACGCCTGCATCTTTTCCATTTGATTCTCCATTATAGTAGTTTCCATTTTCTTGTCCATTATCCCAATATAACCCCAATATAACCCCAATGGGTACCCCTAATGGGGATCCCCAAAAAGGTAACCCTAATTTTCACCTCGCAGCTTTACCATCTACACTGAGCCCTACTACTATATTCTACTAGGGTTTATATTGGGGTTATATTGGGATAATGGAAAAGAAAATGGAAACTACTATAATGGGTACTACCCTTAAATAGGATTATATAGGGGTAATAATCCCTGTAGTTTCCATTTTTCTTTTCCATTATCCCTAATTTTGGGAAACCCTAAACCCTAATCCCTAAACCCTACATATCCCCTATAGAGCCCTATATAGCCCCTATAAACCCTTATCCCTTTATAACCCCAATATACTATTAGGCTCGGCCTTGCCTTGGTCCAGCAGCAAGCGCTCGGGACAGCTGTGCTTGCCTCCAAGGTGTCTGAAGACTGCCTGACCAGAAACTGGGTTGAAAAGGGTTGAGGGTTTAAGGGTTCAGGTTTGGGGGTTTGGGATTCAGGTTTAGGGTTTATCTTGCTACTTTTGGGATGCAAAAGGTGCTCAGGGGCTTACATGGCCGTATCACTTCAGAATCCAGGTCACTTTTGCGAGCCAGTCTGTTCATGGCTGTGTACTTTCAGTTTTCTTGACAAATGCATCAATGAAATCAAAGCGACTCAGGCAGGATGCCTGCCAATTTGAAACGTGCAGCTGCTCGCAACCCATGTGATGCGAAGGTGCCAAGCTCAAGCATCTGCTGGAATGGAGCTCAGACAACAGTTCGTCCGCGCAGGAACCTCCTGACAAATCCTTTCAAAGCCCTCTGATGGAAGTTTCCCAAAATCAGACAACCCCTATCTTACCCAATATAGATCATTAGTACGGAGACCCCCAAGAAGGATCCCCCCAACTTATGGATCCCCATGCATTCGGTGAAGTCTTCTTGGCCCCCTGGCCTGGGCTGACAGCGGCTTTCCAGCCTCGGCCTGGCAACACGAGACGCTGCCGGGTGGCAATGGTCTCATTGCTATGTAAGGATTGCATAGCTGAATTGGGGGTATCCATAGTAAGGATTATAACATTATAGCGGGGTCTATGTAAGGATTACATAGCTGAACTAGGGGTTCCTTTTCGGGGGTATCTGTAGTAAGGATTATAACATGATATTGAGGTCTATATTGCGGCCTCCCCATTTTGGGAAACTACCATGTCGGGGTTATGTAGCAGTTACATAGGGGCTGTTCCATGAATAATGGACAGGACAATGACATGAAGAGTCAAAGGAAAATGGCAAGTAATGGTGGCCGTGGTGGTATTCGTGGGTGGCTGTCGTCATCATCGCGGCAGCGGTGGCTCTATGATTAGTGACAAGAATGGCCTTGCTTTTTAGGAGACTGCTTAGCTATGGACAGGCTGGACAAGCATGGGGCGACTACTGCATACTCCAAGGTTCCTAAGATTCTACCGGGAGCGCTGCCGGACGGCTTTTGAGTGGCGAACAACCTGTTCTTCATCTGGTTTGCATGAGCTGTTCCTCAATTTCCACGTTGAAGTCCTGTTAGAATTTGATTACAAGCAATCAAACAGAATTGTAGTTGTTGCTCAACACGTCGCTCAATGTTGTCGTGGCTTTTTGCCATCATTTGCAAGCTTGTTGACTAATGCCCAGAAGCCGAGACCAACAGCAAACCTAAGTAAAGCAGATTGATCAGTTTCCTCCTGCTAGCTGTTTTCCGAAAAGCCTCCCAGGACTGCAACTACTGGTATGATAACGAGAACAACAGCTGCCATGATAACGGCACCAGCAACTTTCGCATGCAAAAAAGACTTGAAATACTCAGCCGCTACCGCTGTGCCACAATGTTCCCGATGTGGAATGGCTTCGGAAGGATATGCAATGTCCCAATACAGCCTCTGAGATATTCTGTTTAGCCATTATCATGTTCTTTTCTAGTTTCCAAGTTCTTTTCCATTATCTTTCATGGCTGAATCCGAGTGCCCGGCCTCCACAGCCATGCGGCGGACACATCGCCATGCAACGCCGCCTTGGACGACGGGACTTATAAGGGTACCACAATATAGGCCCCAATATACTATAGTCCTTACTATAGGGATCCCCAAAAAACTACCCCTAATTTTGGGAAACCCCTACATGCGTGCAAAATTCTCCACACAGCACGCAAGGTAAGCAGAGCAATGAACACCAGAATCCCAAGCCCGACACAATGTCGTTTGCACCACATGCTGACTTTTTGGATCCACGGCACCAAGGGCAACAGCACTGCGGCCCACATGCAGCGCGCTTGCATGCACAGTTGCCTCCTGCGCAGACTTGGTTTCTTGCAAATGCCGTTGGTTCTGCCCTTCTTCCAGCCATGGTGGAAGGCATCATTGCTCTCATCGCCTCCAAGTCTGCATAACTTCACATGCATGCTGAGCGATGCAGACTTTGCTCCGCCACGAATGGCAACTGAAAGGTGGTGTAAGCAAAGTAGCTTTGTGAATGATACTGGTGAACATACGCAAATGTCATGAGTAACATCGCGCGCTTCTTCAGGCAAACAAGCTACTCACAGCTGTGTGACCCGGTGATGGAAATCTCCTGCCAGCCATCCGCATCAGGGCCCTTGCGATCACGAAATGGCACGCCAAACCAACGAACCTGCAACCATCAACTGCTCGGCTTGACAAATCGATCTGCACCAGGGAGACGTGTTGAAGCTTCTGTAGCTGCCGGACCCGTCGCAGGAACAAACAACGTTTGCAAGCACCAAGGGGCATCACGGGCTTTCGCAACCATTGGTGCGGAGAGGACGTGATGTGCGGCGGAAGGGAGCATGGCTCAGCAAAATGTCACAACGCTTGCTTGCACCGGTTGAACAGATATGCAAAGATGTCAACTCACTCTTCAGACCTGTGCCATCCTTATACGATTTGCTCGTATAAGAACATATCAATCCGTACAAAAAGGCGGCAAATCTCAATGTAAGTCTGATAATCTGAGTCATGGTAGTGTGCAACCCCAAAATTGCATTCAAGAAACGGCCAAGCTTTTTCAGATTGTGAGCAAAATGCCCGATGCAAGATTCAAGGTCACATAAGCTATAATCTAAACTCCTGGTATCCCTATACAATCCATTACAAAGCCCCCCTTAAGGAGTTTAGACTATAGCTCATATCAAGGAACATCAGCGCGCAAGGATGCTCTCCTCCTTGGGCTTTGCCTCTTTCCCTTCCCTGGACTCCTAGTTCAGGGCATGCTACCTGCTTGCATACTCAATGAATTGGATGGCGGACTTCAAGAAGCCACCAGCGCAAACATCCGAGTCCTTCTTTGCTTTTGGGGCCGACTGCGCAGGTTCCTGAGCCAAGCATACTCCCACCCCCCTGCTACGAGGGAATATCTAAGATTAACAGTGGAACTCCAAGTTATCAGAACTGGCCTTGGAGGCATCCTTTGCTTTGGGTGTCTCTTTGACCTTGGCCACCTGCAGAAAAGCTGACTCCTCGCGTTAGCTGTTCCTGCCTCTTGCTGCAAATGTGTGGCTTGAACATGCACATGTCTATTGGCACCTCCTTTTTCGCTTCGCCGTCCTTCTTAGGCTCCTTGATTCATGAGGGCTGCAAAATGGAGGCAACATAGCTCTCGCAGAAAATTATCCCACACAAGTTTTTTCCATTATAGCATGCTGCGCAAGAATGCTCAAGGGTGCAGAAGCTACAACACGTGTTCCAGATCCGGCTCCGCATACCCTGCTGCAGCAAGAGCAGGTACCCTGCCTTGGCGGCTGCGTCCTTCGGCGCTTCTTTGGCCACTTTTGCCTTTGGTGCCTCTTTTGCTTTGGCGGCAGCCTTTGGCGCCTGTTCAAGAGCTAGCATTCCGCGACAGCTGCCACAGGCCGCACCCAGAAGAACAGGCAACCATTGGCCTCCTTGCTCTCAGTTTTGATCCTGGCAACTTGGTGGCTTTCAGCTAGCCTTAAGAATCTCCGCATTCAATAAGACCTTGGCAATAAATATTTCCAACATAGTACCAGTAGATATTTGGGTATATGTGGTGTGGCAGCAAAGACGAAGGCAGCAATACTTAAAAAAGCACTGTCGCAGTTGCAGCGAAGGTCTGGCAACCATGCCAGGACAACCAATTCTTGCTCTGTGCCTTCCTGATGCAAAACCGACAAGTTCACAAGCAAGAGGCCCGGGCCATTTGGAGCTAAGGCACAGGGGTCAGGCATATGTTCCCGACCCAAAAAAAAGATGTACAAGGTGGTTATGTCAGGGGCCCCTACGAGCCATCGACGGGCGCTCTACACACGTCTACGGGCCCTAAAGGAAACAGCTTCGCCTGGTAAGGCATGACGCTTCAACAGCGGGTGTGCACCCCAAAAGGCCTACAGAAGGATAAGTTGAGCCAAGGGTTAATGTAATTTGAGAAGTAGAAAGTATGTAGAGACTGGCTCAGTGAGTCGAGACACACGAGAACCACATGAGCCAGGATATGCAATTTCTCCCATTCTCGCTTGAAGAACCCCTACACATGCTTATACTGTCTATTTGTCGACTTACATCCAGTCTTTGCATTTGAGCAAGGCTCTCTGAAACATTATGGTCAGAACTACTGTCCAAATGCCTCAAGATATCATGCTGACACTTAACATTTCATAGAGCTGCCGCCTTTTACGGCACAACGATGAAATAGGGCTACTTGGAGGTTCTTTGAGGCAAGTAGTTTTTCCGCGATTAGCGAAGTTGGCCTGCACATAACCCCCTTTATTCCGTAATCTACTTACTAAGCCTCCCAAGCCTGCAAGTCATGTTTGGATGCTCATGGCGGCCCGGCAGCGCACCCCCAAAGTCTATTGCAAAGCGGTTTTTACGGGTCCAACAAAGAACACTACGGGCACTGCTGTCCTCAAAAGTGCTGCAAGATACCACGCTGACATCAACATTTCAAAGAGCTTCCGCCTAATACTGCATTTGCCATTAAACAAGGCCCAAGGCACGTCTTGAGTGGGTCATAAATGGGAATCACAGCTTTGAAAAAAAAACGGGGTAGACTTGCTTCTGACCTTGTCAACAGAATGAAAGATGAATTTAGATAAGTTTGTCTATCTTTAAATATTGTTTTGGGGGAGGGATCCTGGGCAGTCTGTGGACCAAAACGCGAGGACGCCCCATGCGAGAGCTCAATTTTGACTTGAAATTTGCGCGAGCTCAATTGGTGTCAAAATGTGAGAAAGCTGCCGGCCGCTCGGCGAAGTCGTCCACGCCTTCATGCGGCTCAGGGCCGGGCAGCGTCGGCCTCGCCGTACGGGGCTGCTTCTGCAGCAGCTGCACCGGCCGGCACGGTGAAGTCGCCGAGGAAGCGTCGATGTTGGGCTCCCTGAAGGGCGGCGGTGGTGCCTTTGCCGTCGGCTTCGTCTTTGGGTCCTTGCGAGGTAGATGTAGTAGGCGCCGAGGTCGTGCCACCAGCGCCGCTGCCGCCGCTGCCACCGCCAACCGCGCCGCTGAGGCCGCCAGCACCGCTGAAGTCGACAACCACAGACGGCGGATTGTTCAGGGGCAGCTGCATGGCGCCGAACATCACCACCTCATCGTCGGCGATGGTTGTGGGCGCCGAGAGTGCTCGCCCTCTTGAATGGCGGTAAGCTCCGCCGAGGGGTCGGCCGGCGAAGCCTCCGGATCAAGCCACGAGGCCGCCGCCGAAGAGGAGGCAACGTCAAGCTTGGTGCCCTTCTGTGGCGTCGGACCGAAGTAGACGCCGTAGATGAGGTCGCCGTAGTGCTCATGGCGTCCATCGCCGCGGCGACCTTTGACTGCAAGTCGGCCAGTTAACTTCCCAACTCCGCCGCAAGCTCATCCGTCGGGAGCGCCGAGAGGACCTCGGCAATGTTGGTGGCGCGGATGAGCATGGGGTCGATGCCATGACGTTGAAGCGACGCAAAGAAGGCAAATGGGAGGCAGGAAGCGAAAAGGCCGACGAGCCGGGATTCTTCGGTTCGTCGAGTACATGTTAGTCCTCACATGCAGGCATGTGCTACACAACAATCTGGCCAACAAACCAAACATGCTGCGCGGGCATGGCTGAGGAAATCTCTAAGGATTGGGATTTGCAGCATGAGAGCTGGAGCTTTCGTATGACCATCCCACCCCCTGAGGCCCCAGCAGTTTGGTGGCCAGCGAGGCAGCCAGCGTTTTCAAGTCGCTGGCTTTCTGCGGCAGCAACAACAGTGCATAGCATCCGTGCTCACAAGCTAAAGTTTAGAAAACAGACATACGCGCATGTGGAGACGCAGGCCTCTTTTTCGCGAACGTTCTCCACCAACGCCAACACAGTTTTGCCATACCTGCACTGGCTGTCTCCACACGGTGCCGTTGCAAAGAAAACATTGTATCATCGCAAGGCCATGTAGAAAGACAACATCTTGAGTTCCAGCACCAGGACTTTTCAGCATGCGGCCAATGATCTGAGCGCGTCTAAATTCAGATTCCTTGATGTGACAACAATTCAGCAATCTAGCCAAGTCCCAAACTGTCAACAGCCCTTAGTTAGGAAAAGGCATCACATTTTCATTCGGAGGAAGTGATGGCAGTCTGCCAACCTGCGATACCTGGCTTGCAACACGCAGGGGCACTTCTCCACAATAGGATAAGTCTCGCAGGACTTGCTGAGGAGAAGCAAAGCATTTCGCTTGTCTGTCCAGTCCTCACGGATGTGGAAGCAACCTAGCCTTGTTGTAAAGTGCGTCTACTTAAAGAACAACATGACTGCAATGATATTCCATACTGCCAGCCAGCCAAAAAAACGCAAGTCCTCAGACTCCAGATTTTGGCGGAGAGCTTTGAGGATCTTCCCCTGCCACTAATTTGAGAAGATGAGTGCTATGTCCCAATGTATGCTGAAGTTCTTGAGAAGCAAGCAGTCTTCAGACCGACAGGGAACAATGATGAACAAGGGTTCCAAGAAAGCATTGCAGCACGCAACCTACATGTTCATCCACACTGTTTCCAAAGGTTAAGGAGCTTGCATTTGTAGGTTGTCCCAGCATGACACGTGCTGAATCCATAACATGCATCCTGCCAACCAAGAGGCTGCATTCGACTGACCTGCTTCAAATTATCGAGAAAATGATCCATACAAAGACCCCAATTGACATCAGCTACATGACCCCACGAACAATCATCAGCAACTTCCAAAATGTCCACCTCCCACTTGTTGTGACCTCTCACAATGTCAGCATGCTTTGCAAACCTCAGTTCGCTGGCAGCACACCACACGTGGCCCAAGGTGTGGAGCTGGAGTGGTTCAAAATCTTTCATGCATCTCTAGCTGTCAGTTCTGGCGGGCCAGAAAACACCGAGCGCAGCGCTCAGGGTCTGCGGGGGTGCCGTCATAGTGGTGGCGGTGGAAGCAGGGATTGTCCCTGAGCATGCAGCAGGAAGGTGTTCAGGTTCTCATCATGGAAGGGGGAAAGGTGGTACACTTGTGTCAGTGCCCCCTGCTTTAATCCTGAGCGAGCTGCGCTTGCAGCTTCGATTCTGCTGCACAAGTGCTGTACTTACTCGTCACGCATTCTGAGACTTTGGGGCGCCCTGTCTGTTGTTTTAGCTGCTGCCAGTGATACATGTAACGAAACAGGTGTATTCTGATTCGAGCTACTGGGGCTTACTACTCTTTTACTCCTCCTACTCTGATTCTCCTTACACCCTGACCACAAATGCACTGGCGATGAAAACATGCTGTGCAACCATCGGCATCAGCATTGCAAAGCCAACCGTCAAGAAACTGCTCACAGACATGCCAGAGTCACTTCATCTCGGCTTCGAATGCCTTTTCGCTTTTCCTTGGACGGCGGTGCAGTTTAATGTTCTGGAAACACCCGGTCAGCGATTGCATAGGGCACGAAAACCAGGCTTTGCGGACGATATCAACTAATTTGCTTGCACTGCTCCATCCACAAAAGAATCTAACCGTTTGCGTCTTGACCTGGTTGTTCTTCCTTCTTAGGAAGGTTGTCTGCTGGCCCTACTTGGGGCTTTCAGGCCTCTTGGACTGCACTTGGATCTCGGCGACTCAAGGTCCTGCCACCACACACAAAATAAGTAAGGGCTGGGCCGCAAGAAGCAGATGTAGGACATCATCTCCTCAGGTACGCTGTCCGACATATTCAGCTAGATCGAGCAGCTTGGCAACAAGGCCAATGTGGGGGTCGGTCAGGTGACAAGTGACGAGACAGATGAGGCTTTGTGAAGCTTTTAACTCCATCTGTCAACCAAGATACGTGAAGAAAATGTCCACAAATTTGGGCCTCGACAGGATCAAGCTGAGCTGTCATTGAACAAATAATTCAGGCGGCTTGTGTTGGAGAAGTATTCGAGTGGTCAGGTAGTTTTGGAAGGAGATAAGTTTCATGTTTGCTGGTGAAGCCTAGCAGCAGCTGTGATGGCAACGTCTTTAGGCCCCTTCTTTCAGCATTCCCCCTTTGCATATGGGTTGTAGCTAATTGACCGCTTCAGCCCAACTACAAACGATACTGGAGCGGGCTGCATCCAGAACTCTGCAAAGAGCGCGAAATCGAAAGGGTCCTGCTAGGCTTCAGGCCTCCACTTCGGTGCAGCTTCTAAGGTTCATGGTGAGCATGACTGTCCTTGTGGCGCATGCCACTGGGCAGAAAAGCCGGGGAGCAAGCGTAGGAACGGCAAGAAGCACGACATGTGGGCGCCCATGTAGTCTTGTAGGTTCGCCCACTTACACAAAACATTGCACCTACAGCCAATGCAAAGTCGAAGCAGTAGTACTTTACCCCTATGTTGGTACAAATATGAACCTGACCTCCTTTCGATTGTAGCTTTGGCGTACCGCAGCCCCAGACGCTCACTGTATAGCATACCGCCACTGATGGTTTCTTCACGAAGCAACCTGTCAAACCCTGTCTAGGTTCGCAGCCAGCTGTTGTAGAAGTCCAGCACCAAGAACCTGACACTTAAGGCAAACAACGTGGAGTGGTGCTATGCAAATTCACAAGCTTGAGGAACTCAGCAATGGCAGCACCCCCTAACTGCCCTAACTCTAATTCATCGCCTAAGGTTTCTGCATCAAGTCATCCAAGGAGCCCAGGAGTCTTCATCCGAATGAGAAGCCGCGCAAACTTGCAGCAGAAGAGGGCATCTGCATGCAGGGCAGAAGTACCCCAAGCAAGGAAGATCTTACATCACTCAACTTGTGTCAAAGGCCGCTGGGATGACACTTTGCGTGGCCTCCATACGAAGTCAGAGCTCGAGGGAGTATCATCTCGGCAACCTGACACTGCCGGACTCAGTTCCACATGCAGTGTCGTACTGCATGCATCATGGAAAGCCAAAGGCGCACCATAGTCTGAGTGGCTTCCGGGCAGTGCTTCACAAACCTGGGCTGGCAAGGCTACCAAGGCAAGGAAGGCTAGGCAAATACAAGCAAGGCAAGCTCGATCACCTGCCAGCCACAGCATAACATCGTCGAGGCAATCTCATGACAGGAGCATGACTTGTCTGTCTTGCGAGAGAAGCGGCCAGGAAGATTTCTCCTGCTCCAAACGTGCCAACACCTCCCAGCTCATCTCTGAAGTGCTGCTAGGACAGAGACAGCTCATGTCGAACGAGAATTTAATCCAGCAGCTGTGACCTTGCAAGACTTTTCTGAAAGCCTGGTCAAAACTTTCAAGTACGCTGCAATTTCTCACCTGCTCAAAGTTCAGCTTCTGCTTCAGGTGCTCCTCCTTCACCTTGTCATGGGCCTCCTTCTGTCTCGCGATGTTCCGCAGGAGCCCCTGCTAAGGGACCACATGCAGGCTATCAAGTCAAATCACAGTTTTGTCATCTGTTGCTATGTGCCATTTAGATTCCGCCCTCACCCTTCCACACTTCACAGGATGCTAAACATGACTGTTACAAGGGAGGCAATCTCCGAACTATACATGCTGGCAACTTCACAGGTCGCACCTTGTACTCGCGACTGTGGGTGTCGTTGTTGTACTTGCGATCAAGCTTGAGTTTTGAATCCTGGAACACTCTGCAAGCACACTGCGGCAGTTGTGAAAACAACCACCAGCCCCCACCTCCAAGGTCTTCAGACCTGCGCAGCAAAGATTATCATTCTTCCTCATGTAGACTTGAAAATGCTGTTTTTTGATACATTCTCGCAGACCCGTTAACAACTAGTTGCAGAACTGCCTGATCATATACGGAACGCATACCAGACTGAAAGAATGAAGATTTTCAGGCAGAGGCCCATGTTTATGCTGGAGGGTGAAGGGGTGACGAGCTGCGCATAAAATTTACCTGACAGGGATGGAAGGCAAGGTGCTGGTGCTGTCGTAATCTTCAAGAGCCCATGTGGTCTTGAGATGTGCTCACATTCCACCACCATTGAGGTGCTCAAGATTGCCCTGGTGAAACCTGTGGCTCGAAAACAGTGATGTTCAGCTTTATATAGCTTCTTTGAACTGTCTAATCATTTTCATGTCTTTCAAGAAACAGGAAGATGCAGACAAAAAGTTATGGGAATCTTTTTGGTAGCTCTTTTCAGGTAGGCATTCACATTGAATGTATTTCCAGAAGAGCCACATTATCTTGAGCACGAATGTTCTCATAAGACGTTGGGTTCTCTTGGGTGGAAGTACAGAAACTGCTCATTTTGTTGCGCTTTCTCGTTTGGCTGGTCAAAAGAATGGCTTCACCGGAAAAACTTACATGAAGTCAGCTGCAGCTCTTACATGTAGAGCACTAAGCCTTGAGACATCCTGGCCAGGACTTTCTCGTAGCCCTCGGTAGGCACGAAAATGTCCTCCAAGTCGCAGCCAACAGAGGGACACCCTGAGCAGCAAATTGTCGTCTGCTAAAACGCACCCTCCTTGCCCTTTCCCGCGCATGGGACTCCTGCAAAGACAAGCGCCAAAAGGTCACGTAGAAGTCCATGGAGAGACCCTCCTCCTGCCGCGCACACAAATACGCCTGATCCGTAACCTTGCTGTGAGATGCTGTGAAGCTGCCAGCTGCAAGGCCGACTCAAAAGGGAGACTCCAGGGTCCCACTTGCTAGGAGCATGATTTACCTAGCTGGCCCGAGGCCACTTCTACACTGCACACCAGGAACACGCCTCGATCGAGTTCGGGAGGCACTTGAAAGCGATCTGAGTCCAGTGGAAAAGAAACAAACAGTGAAAGTCACTAGCAGTCATCGGAAATATGCTAACCAAGATGTACAAAGCGTGGGCAGCAACTGCAACTAAGTGAGCTGCGCAAATGCAGCAACCATTTGCGTGCTTATGGGCGACAGCTGCAGCAAAGATGAATTAGTTGGGCTGCTTTCCCACGCTGAAGTGTTCCTACCTGTGCCCCTGGCGTCCATCAGTTGCTTCTGCACTTGCATCTCTTCGGGCGTCGCCACCATTGTGGCCCTGTGAGCTTTTGTCGCTCTAAGTAACAGCAATCAGAAAGGAAGCAGGAGACATGAGACCAAGATAGACCCAGGCTCGCCTATGAATCCTTCTACGGCAGCTGGGTCCGTGGCTTCTCACCCTCTGCCTTCGGAGGAATGAGAGTCTTGCCACGGGCGAAGGCTGACAACCTGACAAGGGCATTACCGTGTTCAAGTTCTTAATGGAATGAGTCAGGAAAAGCGTGCATACGCTGTAGAATTCGCTTGGCTTGCGGCCCAGGCCGCAGCGCTGCATAGGCCAAGTTGGGCTCCAGGACGCCAAAAAGCTGAGCGAACGCTTGTAATCTATGCGAAAAACTTGAAAGAATCTGCTGGAACCGCCTGTTGCAAGCTTGGCATCAGCTGGACGTACTTTTCTCGCGCAGAGGCCTGTCTGACATGATATTCGGATGTCAAAGAGAGACTTGAGAGCAGGCCCGGCCAACGACAGCCAGCAGCAGCTAAGAGCGAGTGCAGATGCAAGAGGCAACTGATGAGAATGGAATCTGCAGAGAGAGATGAAGAAGAGCACAAAGATCTCGAGGATTGCAAAGCTACAAGCAACCATGACAACCGGGGCGCTGATGGCTACGGCCTTTCTCCGTTACAGCAATGATACTCATGGTCATGAAAACGCCGAAGCAGACAGTTGTATCGAAGATGCAGGGTAGATGCTGGCACTACATGAACATGTGGCAAAATGTATGCTCATGCTAGGACAGATGTCAGTCAATGCCAATGATGACATTGAGCTGGCGGAGGCGATGACTGCCGTATTGACGAGATATGGTCAACATTGGACGACAGGCTAGGTGCTAGCAGATGACGCGCAATCCAGAATGCTGATCCTGACAACAAAGGGGATTAACAACGAAACGGTAGGAGTAAAAAGATGGCATTATGCTGGTAATGAGCGTGCTGGAGGCATTTTGACAGATGGTTGATACATCTAATTCATGAGAAGAGGTGGCAATAGATGCACAAAGAGGGAGGGGAGGGGGGATTGGAAGGCTGTGCGAGGCCTGGGACAGAAAGTCCACAAGGCTCAGGAAGCACTCCTGGTTCCTGCAAGGACACTGCGAGAAGTGGCCATGAAATCTTCTGCCATCAACCGCCAAAGTCCAACAAGCAGGCGGTACCCGTCAAGAAGCTGGCAGAGGATCTTCAGCGACCCTTCATCGCTGTGGAGCTGGCGCGGACATTCAAACTGAAACACAGAGAGATACAGAGAGCACAAATTGCTTATGGATCTCAAGCTCTGCTACGTCGGCCTCCGAGAAGCCCTCGGACATGAAATACAGGCGCTGGCGACTGAGTCCGTCCCACCTCAGCTTCATCTACTAAGAGCTTGTTTGCGGCTCTCTTCAATCCAGGCATACTTTACATGCCAGTCTCACAACGCATGCACACAGTGCTGCACTGCTGCACTCTCACAAGGGGACTTGGCTGATGGCAGGGCGGGAGCCAAACCAAGCTCGACAATTGGGTCCAGGAGTGCTTTCTTTGTCTTCTCCTGGCAAATCTTTCTGTTGAAGCAAATGCACGTATACTTGCCTGAACGCACATCCTTGCATGATCTTGCAGTACTTCCATCTGCGACCCCACAAGAGCTGACTAGCTCTGTGTGAGGTTCAGGTTGTTTCTGTTCAGGCAGGGACCATTTCCCAGCAACCCAAGCTGCATCCCCACTTCAAACGTGTGCAACTACCTTGCGCTGCGGATCTGGACGCACGCCGATGGAAACCGACCTTAATTTCTTCACCCAGGACTTCCACCAAAGCTTAGAACATAGATCTCAAATCCGGGCAGATGCTTGAAGGCTCTCACTTGTCGATTGAAATAGTCAATGAAATGCCAGGTCCAGAGCGTCGCCCAATCGACACTTGGACGCTCCACCAGGATGCGAACTTGGGGAGACCACCCAAAACCTTAAAAAATGGCCAAGCCCGCGGCTCCAAACGCAGCCGTGGTCCCCCCGCTAGGCAGGTGATCTGCTCCATGGTGTAGCTGCCACAGGGTTTCGGCATATCAAATATGACCGCTGAGCAAAAACTCAGGGCTTGCATTGTGCAGCTGCTCACTTGCATGGGCTGCCCTCGCTGAGGCACCGACTCCTTGACCACGATGAGGCCACCCAAGTGCCTTCTGGTTTGGCCACTTAGGCTGAGACTTTCCCGTCTAGCCACCAGTCCACCAACAGGAACCGTCAAAGTCTAAAGCATGGCGGACAACACCGTCTACGCGTCCTGTTTGCTGGGTGTCTGGCTCCATCAGCTTTTCCAGGACTACGCGGATGAGTGACTCTCCCTGTTAGCAGTGCAGTTTGGCTGCGTGCTCCAAAGCCATGTTGAACTACGCTTGCAAAAGCTTGAAACAAGGAAAATCGCACGCAAGTCTCTGAGGAGCGAGGCTACAGCAGGAAACTTCTCATTCTGACGCGGAGCTGGTCGGAACTTGCGTGCAAAAGCATTCCAGCCTTGAACTTCTTTGCAGAATGCCTGCCTGTGCATTCCGGGAGCAACAGGCAGCTGCAGCAAATACCCTCCTCCATTCTGAGACCTCCTGTCTCAAAGCTCCCAGGCTTCAGGCTTGCAAGCTAACGGCTTCGCGAACTTTGGTCAGCGCCTGCTGACTCTGGAATGTCATGCATCATGCGCTTCCTGGGCAGCATATGACATCGCTTCTCAACAAGGTTGTTTTGCATTTAGCATTGCCTGAACAGCCCATGACTGGCAATGGGACAGACGTAAGCTTTCGACGATAGCACCAGAAGCAAGGCAACCAGGTTGGTCTGCGGGTGCTTCTTGTAGAAGCGACCTCTGGCAGTCAGGCTCATGCCATCTCATGCCCACGCCCAACACTCAAACCAAACATCCAGAGCCGGGCACCAATGAATTCGGAGAAGTTTCCAAGCCAGCCAGAAATCAAGCCATCCGCCTGGCTCGGATGAGAGCATGGCTGCTGGAGTTTTGTCGTCATGCAAACCATATACTTGCCGAGCACTGATCACCAAGGATTGCACAATTTGATCCAACCCAACGGTGACGGCAGGACAGGGGAGAAGAAGGCCTTTTCTGAAGCGGGACCTGGGAATTCTGCACTCCCATGGTCCGTGACATACTCATTAAAGTCAAAGTCTTGCGTGACCAGCTCCACATCGGCCAAGCGGCGCTCGCAATTCCGTGCCAAAACGTAACCTGGCGAGGTCATGAACAGTGCGATTCATGAAGCATTTCGGCTCTGGGCTGCAGGACAAGCTAGATGTAAACCTCATCCTGTGCAATACTGGCTGCAATGGCTGCAATCTGTCGACGCAGGATGCAGCATCATGCAGTCACACCCTGAGCTGAAGATTGAAAGCGCGCAAAATAATGCAAAATCCACATCCGAATCCAGCTCATGCTTCCTCATCCTCCTCCTCCCCTGGTCCATCATTTTCAGCTGCACCGCGTTGGCAGAGTCTCCTGATCTTACTCCTCTTCTGTGGCTTGGCGTGTTTGCAAGTCCTTGCCTGTGCAAGCCCCTGCCTGCAGACGGTATATGTGGTGATATGTGGCGCAATGCTTTGGTGGTCAGTACGTGGCAGTACTTCGATCAAAACCAGATCAAAGGAATTCGAACGACGAAGCGGATGGATGATGCTTTGAGCAGTCCGGTCTGCACAGCCAGGACTTCTGAGGTGCACAAGGTCAGGTAGCACAGCTCAATCTTCCAGATCTTCCAGGGCAACTCATAACAGTAAACCCCAGCAACAATGGACCTGTCGCTCACCAGTAGTGTGATGTCAACTTGAGCCGAGGGGATGACGTCATGAAACCATTATTACTATTATTAATATTATTACTATTGTTACTATTATTACTCTTCTTACTGTTATTACATTACTATTATTACTATTGTTAGCCGTCTTGTTACTACTGTTGCTATGACTATTTCAAATTCCTCCCTACTTCAAGCGGGCTAAACAGGGGACCCACAATATCCCTAAACCCTAAACCCTAAACTGCTTCTCAAGCACGAAGCAGGACCCACGATATCCGTCACCATGTCAGAGCAGCGTCCCGTGAGGTCCACGTACCTGACGAGGCACCCGCTAAGCATGTCGCAGTCCAATAGTCCTAGCAATACAGTAGTAATATACTAGTAGACTAATAGTAGAGTAATAGTAACATACGACTAATAAGTGTAATAATACTTATAATACTGATAATAATAAATAGTAGTAAGAGGTGGCATGTCACAATATGAGCTGCTTGTTGTTTCCGTCTGCTTCTCCTACTTGTGTGCGTGGAGGGGGTGGCACGGCTGGATCATATTGACGTTGAAGCCAATCTCAATGTCCTGCCGGAGAAGCTGAAGCACGCGATCTCCACATGAAGTTGCGCGGCTACACCCATCTTGATGTGGCCAAGTCAAGTTGCCTTGAGAGCTCCGGAACCAAAATCTGATTCAGCCAGCACTTGGGACAAAGGCGCTTGCCGTCGCATCGTGGCGATTGCACAAAGCTCTGCGCAACTGGGTAAGGCCCAAGTTCTTGGAAATTGCATGGGAATCTTTGGGGAAAAACGGTTTTTGCAAGCCTGAGCAACATCCAACAAGCTCAATCCTGGACCAGACACAGGTGAAGCTCATTGGCGGCTTGCAATATCAAATGAGGCCGGAAAATGCTGTCTGTGCTCAGCAAATGGAACTCAACACTTGCTTTGGGACCGCAATTGAGCATCCGATGCTGCTGGAAGTGGACATACAACCCCATAAGATTTGCCCCATCAACATCGCGGCAAACGATGTTCTCTGGGCTGCTGCTGACGTGTCCTTCAACATCACTTCCACGATGGGAATGGGGTTTGTCTGGCCTGATGCAGATCTTGCAGAGCTCTGCTCTCCCTTGCCCACAGGATGTGCAGCTTGCAGCGATCCGGTGCACTGTATTGACATTTGACGGCAATCACTATCGCAGTGACATCCACGGCTTAAGGCAGTTGTAGACAAATGCCCCTGAGAGCCCTGCACAGCTGACAAAACACTGGATGGGGCCTGTCTCAGAGTCATTTCCAAGACAAGCTTTCTCTGCCCTTTTCCAGTAGCTGGTCAGTGTGAGGAGCGTGCGGAGGCTGATCCTACACGTAGCACCCCCCAGTTGGACCCTCCCTGCCTGTAGGAGCTGTTGTCGTCTCGGTCCCGATCATTCTTGTCGCTGGAAACGACCCGCTTCAGGATCTGCAGAATCACGAGAACTACTGAATAGCAATGCCTTAGGCACGGAGGCTTGAAGAATGTCCTTCGAGCAGATGAAACTTGTAAGTGCTGATGATCTGACTCGCCGTACCATCTCCAATGTAACATGCAACATGGATGTGCCTTCTTTGCTTCGAACTTTGCTTCTTCGTAGCTGTATTTGAGCATGAACTCGCTGTACCTCTCCCACACCAGCCCTGCTGACGCAACAAAGAAGCAGACATACTGAGCAACTTGAGTTACTGTGGCCGCCTCAACAAACTCGACCTGCTGTGGCGGGTAACAGCCACAAATACCCTGAAATCTCTTGAATTGTATGAGATGTCTGTGCTCAGGAGGCTTTGTAGAGGCTGACAAAGTCATCGCACGTCGCAGGTCATGGAATTTCTTTTGTACGAGGACTGAAGGCACAGGAACGCAAGAGAAGTGTAGTGTGCCTTGTCTCCCAGCAACTGTAGATCAGATAGCGCTGGTAAACTGTCAGCTGCTTGAGCACGTTCCACCTTGGTTTTTCACGCGGTAAGGAAGCATTCGCAGCTTGTATCCCAGACTCAACCCTTTCTGCCAGGCATCCCGCGCCATGCTGCTCAAGAAGGGGTTGGGCTTGGCCTGAAGTTTATGTCTGTCAAGGGACGCGAAATTGTAGATGCGATTTCTTAGCCACCTAAAAGCTCAGCTTCATATGCACCTATGCAGTAAAAAAGCTGCAATTATGGTCTGCTATGTTGTAAGCCACCCCCAGGTATGTGGAAGTGTAAAATAACTTCACAGCTCGACTGTTGAACTCAAAATTGAAAATCAAAGATTGAAGTTGAAGGTTCTCAATTTTCATCTAATCCACTTTTGCACGTCCAGTGAGGAGATTTGATAGGAGCTTTAAAGTTACCATTCGAAATTTCGACATCAAACCTTTAATTTCAAGATTCTCAGCGGATATCTAAACACTCAATTTCCACCTTTGAAAAGAGGTTTGGAATTAAATTCCTACTTTTACACCCCATGTCGAAGATTGCAAATTGAAGATTCTCAGAAGAGCAATCCCGAAATATTCAATTTCCGACTCCGACTTTGCAAGGTGCGTCACAGCTTTGACTCAAAACTGCAAGCTGGAAATCTATGATTTCACCTTCTCTGAAATCCTCAACCTTCAGCTTGGAGCTTCACAACGGAAACTTTGAAGCTTACTTTCAAACTCCAAGCTATACATTTAAGATTTCGGCTTGCCCAGGAAATCTTGAATCTTTGAACTAAACTATGGAGATTTATCACCATAACTTCGTAGCCAAACTTCCTATTGCAAACACACGATCTCACAACCTAGAACGCAGATTTAAAAGACCATCTGAGAGATGTCTATGTCATGTTGCGGGTTCACAGAAGCTTTTAGAAAGCAAGTCTCAATCGTCATTCCATGTTTTTCAAATATGTTTAACGACTGAAGAACTTCAGAAAGCTCCCCAAAATCTGCAGTTTTCCCTGACGCTTGGCCCAAGCATATGTCTAACGTAATGAGATCCTTCTGATAGTTCGCTGACAAAACCAAAAGCCCGTGAGGGATAGCCCATGACAATTTCGGCATGGGATTCTTTTGATGTTTTCCATAGCATGGCTAACCTCAAGAAAAGATTTTGGTCGCAATCCTTCTGATAGTTCCCTGCAGAAACCTCTTCGGAATGTATTCATATCATTGTTATAAGTTGATGAAGGGCTGTATTCGGGACTTGCACACACACGTAGGGACACGTGCATATACATACATACATACATACATACATACATACATACGTACAGACATACAGACATACAGACATACAGACACATACACATACACATACACATACACATACACATGCACATGCACATGCACCTGCACATACACAACTACACACATACATACCTACACATACACATACACATGCACACATGCACACATGCACACATACACACATACACACATAAAGACATACATACATACATACATACATACATACATACCTACGTACGTACGTACGTACGTACGTACGTACATACATACATACATACATACATACATACACACGTACGTACGTACATACATACATACGTACATACATACATACCTACATACAAACATACGTACATACATACATACATACCTACATACATACACACACATCTACACATGCAGACATGTATACAGATGTACACAGACGTACACAGATGCACAGATGAACATATATCAATATATACATACATGTACGCATTTATGTTGTGCATACAAACATATTATACAAGCGAATAGCTGAGGCCACATTACCCCAGGAAGAAAAAGGATTCTTTTTGCACTTTTTCTTACACGTTATTAATTGGCTGATTGACACATATGACACAAATGTGATACATATTGTATGTATTGTTCATGTGTACATATGATACACATACACACATACATACATGCGCGCAATGTGCGCCATCAAAATCTCCCCCAAGAAATTGCGGTTCCTTACTCAGGTAAAAAAAGTGTTGCAAACTCTGCAGTTGTTCATGCTTTCGTCAAGCACAGCAATTCAAGTCAAGTGCGTGCTGGGAAGCACTTAACACGAAAGCTAAGAACAGTAAAAGATCAATGCTGCCTTCCAGTCTAAGATACCTTTGCGCCAGCATGGCACCGTCACAGTCCAAGTCTATTCCGAAAATCACTTGATGGTCCTTTGAGGCTGGATGTGTGCAGCCAACTGTCAGGCTTATGATGCTCCACAGAACTATACCCAAAGACTTTTCGGCAGCAAGCGCCCTGATAGGAATTACTGGGGATCCTGCAATGGAGATTGCCGGCAGCAGGTGCTTGTACATAATGGCTACCAGCCTCGAGGATTAGCTGCGTGACAGGGAAGAGCAGTGGTATTACGTGCACACATCAGGCGCCAACCGTCCATGCTATCTCAATCTCGCTTCCACTACGGCTCCCGGACTACCAGACTAGCTACACCAGTTTCCAGCTATGGAATTTGTGTTGGCTCTTCTCTGCGCAATGCTCTTGATGACAAGCTGACAAGCAACCTGGTATCAAGCACGTGGTTGGAGGGAGCTGCACCTTGGGTCCATCGCTCAACAAAAGCCAACTTTTCATGGCGAGCTTGGCCCCAACCACACAGAGATTCTCCCAGGGCGTAGCTATTCGCTGATGCCGAAGCCATGGCAGCATGGCTGCTGCCCTCGGGAGACTCCCTTGGCAGAGGCAGGGAGGGAGGATCAAATAGAAAGGCTGACAAACTTCGCGCCTATATCGGTTAAAAGATTTCATGGCCTTCCTGCAGAGAAGAAATTCCTCTGAGAAGGGGCTTCGGAATTGCAACTGCCAGCGTCTTTGCTGGGATCCCAGCTTCAGCGACAAAGCAATAACCTGCCCCCAAGCTCGAACTGATTTGCTGTCAGCTAAATCGGAATCCTAGATGCTTCGCCTGAATCAGGCCTGGCAGACTACTGCCAAAACCGCAAATCTTTCTTGCATTTGCTCCCACCAACCTGGAACATGCACGTCAACACGACGTTGTCCTCAGAGCAGCAAGAGATTGGATGACCAGAGTCCTTGCCTGGCAACTAGTTGCGTGAGGCAGAGCACATGACAGCCAAGTAGCCGTGTGCATGTAGTACTCCAAGAAATCCAACACCTGAACGGCGCAACTAGGACTTTGAGCAATCGATGCTGCCACCGGCACATTTGCACAGCTTCTCTGCTCACCTTTACAAGCACCAGTAACTCTTGTCGTTAGACGTTTGGCCGCAACTGTTTTACCAGTCTGTTTTTCAAAAGTTTGCTCGATTCCGGCAGAGCCTTGCGCAGACGCCCATCCTTTGGCAAGGGACCAACCAAACATCCAGTCTCCCTGCCCATGCCTGCTTGCAGGCGGGAGCGAAGTCATCTATGTCTGTAGCCTCGCGTAACTTGCGGGTTGATGCGGGAATGCATCTGGCCCGATGCCAGCAGTCAATAGGTTGCAGCTATGTCTCGATAACAACTTTTCAGTTCGATCTGGCTGTGAATTGCCAGCTCGTTAGAGCCAGCCCTCTCCCAGCATAAGAAACTTAATCGCAGCCACCCTGCTGGCACCTGTCGGAGGTACCCGTGCAGAGGGGGTTCACCTCACAAAGCCAAGAAACATTTCGAATACAGCCAATCTGAACAATCTGAACCGGAAAGCATGGCCTAATTCGAGCATGGATACACCCCAGGCAAAGCGCCGGATATTCCTCAGCGCAGCACTGGCAAGAAGTCCCGTCCGATTCCATGTCTTGTCATGTGGTGCTTGGGCACTGCATTGAAGCTCGTGACAAACAATGCTCCGCAGCGGTTCAGTTGCCTATGGCTAGCTGAGTATCAAGCTTGTTGTAGCGAGGTAGGCCTCACACAGCGTGGCATTGCAACGACTGAAATCGAGGAGTGGACAATGGCAAAAACAGCAAGGATACCTTTTCCACTTTCCACCTGCCTTGCTGCGACTTCGGAAGCAGTGGCTCGATGATCCACCTCAGACCAGCCAAAAGGCCAGCGATGCTGAAACCTGTAAATGCCAGATGCTGCACGCAGGCTGCATTTTTCACATTAGCCAAGAATTCAGGCAGGACTGACATGCTGCATACCACACAGTCTAAATCCATCTAACTCCACTGCACAAGAAGATCAGTCTGTCTGTGCTTATTGCAGAATGCATTCAAAATGCAGCTACTGCAACCGCAAAAAAACTGAACGCTGGCCAGGCTACTAGAAGGAGCCCCAAAGAAACATTCATGCACCCACATGCTCTACTCTTCTGCAACCCTGGTACATGTGAAATGTTTCAGATGACTTGCAGCGATAGACAAAACTGAAAATGCTGTCAGGCATGCCAAGCTTTCCGCATCACGTTCCGGGAGCATTACACGAGACACAAGGGCAAAGGATGGCTGCCGCACTTCTGAGGCCACCACTTAAGGAGGTCACACCTTTACTTCGCTACGCTGACAAATGAAACATAAATTTCTACTTCTGACATGGAAGGCAAGGAATGTGAAAACGAGTTCTGAGGTTTAGTGTCTAGGATCAGTATAGCTGGCACTTCTTCTGGCGGTGCATTTGCTGGTGCTCCAGTCATTTGACATCAGGAAATCTTCCCACCTCTCAGATCCAGAACAGTCTTGGCAGCTAAGCTACGCGCAAAGCTTGCCTTATGTAGTGGTTCATGCAAGGTCGGCAGATCCTGCACTCACAGCTGCATGCAGCAGCTTGGTGGCAGAGCGACAAAGAAGACAAAGGAAGTGAAGTACTGCAGCGCCAGTCTTTAGCCGCAGACGAAGTGAAGGACAAAAGGCTTCTAGACAAGCCAGTATACTGCTCACGAAACAGCACCAAGCTAAACATCCAAAGCAGTGCACTGATCAGATCCCGAATCTTACTGGCTGAAGAAGCCTCCGAAGATGCGTCAGCATCATGCAGGCGTTGCGCCAGTCCTGAAGCCACGAAGTCTTTCTAAATCCTTCAAGGAGGACTACGGAAATCAAAGCACGTCATGAAGGTGCCCTGACTTTTTCCTGAACGGGTGGCCGCAGGATTCTCATTCTGTTAGGGTGGGACGTAACGAGTTGGGGGCGACCGTTCCATTTGGACTTGCAATCGGTCGAAACCTTTGCAATCTGCCAACCTTCAAACCTGTCATGCCGCAGGCATTTAGGACACTCTGGTGACCTCAACATTCCAAAAGCAACGAGATTCACAGAAACACGGATCTCGATCATCACGATTGTCCCACTTGCACCCTCGAATCTTTCGCATTCCAATTCAACGGTGGCGCGGGTGAAGGTCACGATCCTCGCGACTATCGTTGCTTTCCAAACCCGAGACCTTTTGCGATCCTTCCAACAGCGAAGCTTCGCCAATCATAGGGATGGTACAGGAAGCGTCATGCCTGAAGTCGTATCTTGCTTAGCTGTTGTATCTTCCCCTATCTTGTCGGGTACCATGTCTTCATGAGTTGTCTTCGTGTCGTGTCCTCCTGTCATGTCGCGTACTCATGATGCGTCTTCATGTTCATGATGCGTCCTGGTTCGCGACTCCTGTCAGGTTTGGTCCATGGTGCCAAGGTTGCTTTAGCGGGATCACATCAACTTCACCGCAAAAACTGCCAAAGATTTTTGGGCAGTAGAAATCCGGGGATTCACAGAACACGATGCCATGTACAAACCTTTTAAACTTGTGTAAGGCTTTCTGCAGAGCTTTCAAGATGAAACCAAACAGAAATCTTCTCCGTGTGCCTGGAAGCAATCCATTTTCCAAAGGATCTGGAAGATGATCTTACGGCTTAGCACTCTCAGAGCCTGGCATTGATGCTGATCATTGCCTCCACAAGTCGGATCTTCTGATTGAGCATGTGGTTGAAGTTCTGGCAGGGCCGCGAAAACATCTTGGCGCCAATTTCACTACTCTGAAACTTGCTTGGCAAAGCTCACTTGGGAGCTTTGCAAACCCCGTGCCTTTACACAGCCATTGAAGAAGCGCTTGTCCTTTCAAAGGAACTTTGGCCATCAAGCCACAGTTGAGATGGACGGGGCACTCAGTTCTGATGCGCAATTTTCCATCATGATGGAGGATGTGATGCAACCAACACACAAAATTTCCTGCGCCAGGTTCTGCTTGCCGGTGAGGTCCACTTTGCTAATCGTCTTCAGCTTGGCCTGCAATGGTGCGTTCATCCAAGCTGCTGCCTTTGCTGACGCCATTCGAAACACAAGAGATGCTTTGAACACATCGGGCCTCGTACTTGACGTGCACGTGAGTCCAAGCCCTTGGCATGACGGACGAGACAAGTTTGAGGCCAAGTTCGCTCTTGATGAACAGACTCTAGGAGACGCAAGGGCTCAAGTCTTTGGGAACTTCACTTCCAAACTGCCAGACCCATGGGCGGTCTCTCTGAGTGCGCAGACTCGTGGATCTTCTTCTCAGCGGGATCCAAGTAGGACCACAGCATCTGCACAAAGAGAAGCAGTCATGGTTTGCCTGGTTCTCTCCATGAATCAGTCATGAAATCCATTCGATTTCAAAAGTCCTGAAAAAAGTTGAGGCCAGTGGCAGAGAAGGCTCCTGCATCCTCTTCAGTGGAGTTGCTGTTGGTTCTTGAATATCGAAAGAAAATTCCAGCGAATATCGCCTTGAATCCTAAGGGTTTCCATCAGGATCCTTTAGGCTTCTGATAACAAACTACCACTGCTAGCACTATTACTGCAATGACTCTGCTACAGCTGTTAATACGACGCCGATGACTGGGCTGGAGTTTGATGATCACCTGCTACGTAAGGTCTCAAAGAGGCGTAGAAACACCAAAACAAGCAGCGCAGAATAAGACTCCCCGCTGCAAATGACCTTCCTGAAGCCCGAATAATCCCATCCCGGCCCGAAGGTCCACTTGGCCCAAGGAGACCAGTGATGCCGTCGCCAGGAACTGTGACGCCCTGTTTGAAAGTCAAGGTGTAGGGGTCTGGCCGTCTTGGCAATTTCAACTGGGCATCTAAATTTCCTTGTGGGGCAATTTCTTATGACAGACTTAAGCTGCTGTAGCAAGATGACCTGCAAACGTTTGAGGATTTGCTTGAAGGGTGGATGCAGAACGGAACCAAAGATAACACAAGCAGCAACATACATCTAAATCGCAGGCAATGAAAATCTGGGTTCTTCATACTAAGCAATGCAGGAATGAAAGCTGCAAGTGCTTGACAAGAACAGTCTCCTACTTCAGAACCACCTTGCCGCGGAAGGGACTCTTAAGGGTAGAGATGGGCTACTTAACGAGGTGTTCTGGTATGGTTTATTCGGTTGACTGTCGGGTTTTCGTGGTACCCATCTGGTGCCATTTGAATTTAAATGTAGCTTTGGCTAGTCCTTATGATTTGGTTGTTCATGTTGTTCCTAGTGTAGGAGAATATAGCGCTTTTTTCAGGATATCCATGCTTGCAAGAAATGGCACGCATGGCGATGACATCTTTTGTTACGGTCCGCATGGCTGGCCTCAAAAAGCGGGTGGATTAGGGGGCAAGGGGGGGGGGTCCGCCCCCCCACACCGCATTTGCAAACAAAATGATTCATATGGCGACGACCTGATGCTTTGTTTTTTAGTGCAAGCGTGGATGGCCTTAAACAAGCGGCGGGGTGGGGGGGGCCACACACCAC